ATAATACTCGCGCTACTATGGAGCAGAGCCAGACCGAACTTCCCGACCTCAAACCTTGTGGGCGGGACTAAGTTCGGACTGGCACCCAGGCTAATTTAGACTTAGACCAAGTTTATGATCATTTTGCATTCACATTTCATTGTGTCGTTGAACAGAAACTTATTTTTGATTGTATTATTTCATGCAAAGGACCAACAAATTTAACACATAGCTGCTGAGGTGAGGTATTTTTTTCAGGACTGCTCCTAGTTTGATCTGTTGTCCAATCGCAGCCTCTCTCTAAATTCCCAAAGCATGACACTGCCACCACCCCTTTACAGTGGATATTGTGTGTTTAGGGTAAAATGCAGGGGTTTAGTCACACATTTGGTTTTGGGCTCATCTGACCAGAGCATATTCTGGTTTTCTGCTCATGGCTGGTGACAAACACTGCAACCTTTTATTTCCATTGGAGATTTATAAAGTATTTTTTAATTGAATTGAATTGTAAGGGCCTTTCAACAATAACCATCTCTTGGCTATGTTGCCATGGTTACTATCAGTGTGGTGGAAGATGAATGGATGTTTTATTGATATATTTTCTGATCTGAACTAGGGCTTGGCAATTAATTGCATTTGCAATATAATCACAATTTAATCAAACACAATTTTCAAATTTCAGAGGCACTGGTCTTTAATCACACTATATTTAACAAAAGTAAGACACTAAATTTCTCTCCCCAGCCCTTTAGGTGGTAGTTAAATGCTTCAGAGTTTGTCACAACACAGAAAGGTAGAGGACGTAGCAACTAGCATGCAGATCTATGAATACAAGTAGAAATTAACACTGTTTCACACAATAGTTACAGTAAAGTCCTATAACAATACACTCTGGGTATGCAGCCTTTGAAAATCAGAGAGCCTGGGGTGAAACATCTACAAGCTAGTGCAAAGGAAAATGTAAATAAGATTTTGCAATTTTGGTTAAAATAATCATGATTTAGATTTTTGGCAAAATTTTTCACCCCTAATCTGAGCTCTGGAAACTCCTGCAGTTCTTTTAGACAATACTGACTGCTCCTCTGACTGGCCCATTAGTTAAAATGAATGCAGCCCTTTTTTTGTTGTTGTTATGACACAATAAATAGGAAGGTTTAAGTTAATAACAACTGTTACTGTATTAGTTTATTCAACAACATATAAATGCCTCCTGTTCGACTCAGTGAAGTGATAAATGCTCTCTCCTGGTTTGAAGAATGCCTCTTCCGCCGGCACTGCTGGCCCGCTTGGCCAAGAGAGGGATTGTGAAACCATCAGATCAAGGTAATCAATTATTTTGTATATTTTAGGCTAGTCAACCTAAATAAAAAGAAAATAACAATTTTCTTCTTGATTACAGCAGAGGCAGATGAGGAGATTATTGCTGAAGATTACGATGACAACAACGTAGACTATGAAGCTACCAGAGTAGAGAACCTGCCTCCAAACTGGTACAAAGTGTTTGACCCGGCCTGGTATGTACTCAGAAATAACCCCAAATTAGTCACACCTCCGACATTGTTTTTCAGGACTATTTAACCATCACTTCAATTATCAAAATCACCTGAATGATCATTTCTTATTGTCTCAATTTTGAATGGATAAAATTTTGCTTGTTTTATTCCACAGCGGTCTCCCCTACTACTGGAATGCAGAGACGGATCTGGTTGCCTGGTTATCCCCAAATGACCCTACAGCAGTCATAACAAAACCTGCCAAGAAAGTAAAAGGTGCGTTTTTATGCAGAGGCCCAAACTCTCAAATGATCTATTATTGATTGACTGACTTTACTGATCTCACAGTGGAGAAATGTACTCGTTATATCGGCTCAAATAGTGAAAAAGAAGGAGAAGGTGCCAAAGGAAGAAAAGATTTTAGTTGTTTATCTTTCCAGCTTTGGTCAGAGAAATTTATGCATCACTGTGGACATTAATTTAATACCGATTTTTGGGTTTAGAATAATTTACTTTTGTTTTGATTTTTTTGTATTTACCAATAAAAATGTTGATACATTCTTAGTTTTTTTTTCTTTAACCTTAACATTAGCTACTCAAGTGAATTATTTCCTATTTTAAAAACCTACGAAGGATAAAAAAATATACAGGTAGGGTTTGGATATTTTTATAAACATTGCTATACCCCCATAAATATTTTAGAAATATCCTTTGACATTTGCAAAGCAGTCATAACCTTTTGGAGCCAAAAACAAGGTTTATAGAATTGATTTTCTTTTCTGAACTAAATGGATATTTTAACTTCTGATCTGAGTTTTCTTACAAAGACCAGGCCTCCTCAGTAGGATTGTATTCTGGTCCAGTCTTCCTCAAAATGTTTGTTTGGGATTGATGTCCTTTGGGAACTGTCAGTTATGTCCAACATTCAACCATCTTATAGTTGTTTTCATTTCCAGTTCTTGCGATCTGGTCTTCTGAACCTTTTAGATGTCTCTGATCCCTGGATCTAATGGCTGAATAAATTCCTCTTTGCAGTTGAGTTCTCCTGAGTCCTACTAATGACCCGATTATTCAATAATAATAATAATAATTGAACTTTATTGATCTCCCATTGGAGAAATTTACCTCTACACCTAACCCATCCCTATGGCGTGCAGTGGGCTGCCATTATCTGGAATCTGGAACCAACCGGGTGGAAACAGCTGCTCCACCCTGATTAAATCACAGCAGCTGCTCCACCCTGA